GTAATGGGGTGGGGGATATTGGCTGAAAAGCCAAAATGGCTACTCGCATAAGCGAAGAAAAAACTATAGCCAGAACCAGAAAAGAAACCCAACAAAAATTATCATAATAAAAAAAAAGAAAGTACAAATTTATCTTATTTTCGAAAAAAATACAAAGAAAAACTGAAAAATTCATGCCCAAATACAAAAATCAGGAGAAGATCATAATCTCAATGTCATTCCCGTAAACGACCAACTAATATAAAGTACCAAAGGGCAAAGCATTCCAATCGATCTAGATCACAAAATCTTAATTTCCTTTTTTAGGAGTATGTTTAAATAAACGATGAATCAACACCATTTTACACAGAAAAGGTGATGAGACGGATGCATCTATTGTACGGAATAAATCAACGATCAAGCCAAAGTCGTCAAAAACCTTTATGTATACCGTTATATTGAATAAACTTTAAAGGTTCCACTTCTCACTAAAAATATGGATACAGTAAAACAAAACATTCCCAAATCACAACAACGAGCTTAGTTTATATATCCCTTTGGTTTCTTCCGCCTCTTGTTTTAATACACTACAAAAAGACGAAACCATTATTACGAAAAGAGGCGCAATTGTTATAATTGACACATAATATTATGAAAACAAGATCTGGGATCAATTACAATGACAGTATGTATTATAAAGAAAGAGAGGTAAATATTGACCATCTACCATACTGGTTCATTTGAAGTATATTCATTTATAGTGTAATTATTATGATTATAGGACGGTAATGATAAATTTACGTTAGAGCTGCGGGGTGGGTGGGGGTTTGGGGGTAATAGAAAAGGGCGATATTGCAAGTATGCTCTCTATTTTTACTTGCTGTGTTATTTGAACTCATCTAAAGGTTAAAACGTTCTCGTCAGCAATTTAGCAAACACAAAATGCAATATAAAAACACGATAAAACAATATTCGAGAGAATTACTTGATATTGGGTTTATTAGAAAAAGAAGAAAATACTGAACAATATGAATTGTTATATTAGACTTACACTGTTGGTGGTTATTTCTATAACCATTGAAAACCATTTTAGAGACACTTTCGGTACGATATGGAAAATAGAAAAGCAATCTATTAATACACAGTAAGAAAAATTATAAAGTTTTGTTTTTGCACACCACCTTATATTTCACGGGAAACATGCTTAAAGTTGTTTCGAGACCTTTTCTAAATCGCCAAAAAATCCTTTTGAACATGGTAATAGAAGAAACAAAATATTTCACCATCCATCAAAAAATGTTTCAATACTTCCTTTATGACATTATTAAGATTGCTATGTATAATATGTTATTCTAAAAGTATTGATTGTTTTGATTTGCTTACAAAGAGGGTGTTTTAAACTATTTATAATACTTTTATTTAATTTTGCAATTTCAAAATTCGACATATTTTGAAAATTACACATATTATAGAACGGTTTTGAAAATGGGAAATTATAGTGTCAAAATATTACCTCCACTGTAAAAAAAAGTTTGAACAATTTAAGTTTTTTGTGATAATTGGCAATTAAGTGTAAATGTAAATAAAACTAAAACTACGATTATAAAGCAATATTATTAAAATATCCTTCTAGTATCTTTCACCTCTCTTTTTTATGTTAAAAGGTCCGTCGCTATAGTTTTAAAATTCGAAAATTAAAAATACCAAGTACATAAACATAAAACAAAGGATTCTTTCACGAGACGATAATTATACTTGCATTATATGACACCAATCCAAAAAATCTGACCTCAAGTGAAAGCACAGTTTTTGGTGGGGTTCGTGTTGCTCATTCTTTAGTTTTCTATGTTGTGTTTTGTGTACTATTGTTTGTCTATTGGTCTTTTTCGTTTTTAGCCATGGCGTTGTCAGTTTTTTTCGACTGATGAGTTTAAATATCCCTCTAGTATCTTTCGCCTCTCTTTTTTAAGTTAAAAGGTCCGTCGCTATAGTTTTAACATTCGAAAATTAAAAATACCAAGTACATAAACATAAAACATAGGATTCTCTCACGAGAGGATAAATGTCATCAGAATATAATCTAATAAGATACAATATAGATTGAAAATTAGTATTTAGTTCCAGAGGAAGTCTCCCCTGATCAGCTTCTGCGCCTAAATTTGATGAAGTTTTTCTTATACCCAGTGTATATTTACAAAACTGTAGATGTAACTTTTCTAAAGGTGTTTTATCAGTCAAATAAAAAGGGTCCATATGTTTTCCAGAATTATTTGCTCTTTTTTGTCTCTAAAATATGTTATATAGGAATCCCAAAATGTTACTTCTGAATTATATGGAGCTATAGGTTTAACTAATGAATCAAAGAGATTATTTACGACTTAAACTGGTATATTATTCAATGAACTAATATATGACTTCATAGCAAATAGAACTTTTTTTTAGATTTTTTGGTTAGATCTATAGTACTGTGAGAAAATTTTCCATTATTTTTTATCAACACTCCTAAAAATTTATACTCATTTGTGTCTGATATTGGAATATCTTTGTATGTTACAAATGAGTAAGCTGTTTTGGAACAGTTTTGCTTTATAATCGTAGTTTTAGTTTTATTTACATTTACGCTTAATTGCCAATTATCACAAAACACTCAAATTGTTTAAACTATTTTCACGGTGGAAGTAATATTTTGACACTATAACTTCCCACTCCACTGAACTGCCATTTCTTGATATAGTGATAACTAAACGCAACGGAGAAATCTCAACAGACATTTACTACAATTGACTGGTGTATACGATAATAAGTAATACAGAAAAAGATAGCAACACTTAAAGGAACTATCATACTTTTTAGGGTGACAGATTTATCTAAAACATTTAGTATTACGTGGTATTGAAAAGGCCAAGACTATACAACTTTCGGAATTAAGGAAACCAGTAGGAAAAGATGAGGATAAGTATATACCACATAGTCAGTCAACTCTAACATGTACACAGTAATATAAATACATTTGCCTATACTACACAAAAAGGAAAATATACAGTAACGTTTTGCTACAAGTCAGTGCTTAAAAGTAAAAGACACCCTCGAAATCTTAAGAGCATGAGCACGATTTGATAGGGGGAAATGTGTAAAAATGGATATTCCGCAAAACAGTGCAATGCTGAAAGGTGTGGTTTGTGCAAGTATAATCATGTTAGTTCCAAAACTAGAATTATCAAATGGAAAAAAAAATAACGTCAAACAGAAATCTAAACTGTGGTTCAGAAAACCTCATATGTAGTTTGCAACAAATACAAAGATTGAATATTGGACAAACGGGAATGCATAGCGCGAACGAGTCAGAGTGCATAAACAACAAACAAAGGATACTAGCACAAGAATGATCATGCTAAGCGACTATGTAGAAATGTTTATTAACGGACAATATTCAGTGTAAATGTCTTACAAAATGAGTTTAACAAATGAATTCTAAAGACTTGCTAAGGAATCTCGTTTCATTAATATGTTTAAACCAAAACTAAACAGTACTGCTTAGTTTTCAATGTATTCAATATTATTAAGAATGCAAATTACTGCACTCTTTTAATTATCATAACGTCATTATCAGTCATAAATCATAAGTCAAAGTAGTGATCTGATCTTCTCTATTTTTTTTTACTATTTTTACATTTCCCAACCGATTGTAAAAAATGTGTTCTCCTCACTAGTGAAATAACTGTTCTCGGCTAAAGTTTGGTCGAAATTTAATTATGACGTCAAATTTTCTTGGTTTCTTCTGAATTTCCTATTGTCACGTCATGAAAAAAGGCGACCATTCGTGATGACGTCACATATAAAGAACACAACTCTCAACAGTTTAATTTTGACCATTTAAAAAGCTCGGTAAGCCTCGCGCTTTAAATATTAAAATTTTACTGTCTCGATTGGAGAAATATCGTAACACACTTGTTGCAGTGGTGGAATCTATATATAACTCATTGTTTTATCACATTTTAAAAAGGACCGACACTGATGAAGGTCATTTATTGTGCCAAAATATCTATTGATACGATTTCGTTTCATATTGTTCGTAAAGTTTAATCTTTTATCAGCTCATCAGCATCGTTGCACACATTATATTGAAAAATAGTATCACCCGCTATGCACAAAATAATATATACTGACGGACTTTAGAAACGCAACACACATTTTGGTATTTTTTTTAACCAAATCATGATTGATCCTCATAGAACTACTATTCATGCTTACCATACTTCTTTATGCTTAGAAAAATTCAATATCTGACTTACCTGAGGTTATTGAATATACCGGATTATTGAAATCGCACGAATTTCTTAAAGTAAACATTTTAAACCCATAAATGATTTTATAAGGATTTTTTTTTCGTGAAACAATTCTTTCAATCTATACCACACTTGAATCATTAAAAAAATTGCACCTCCATTTTGCCGAGACTAAGCAATGAAAATCTGAATCAGGCCATAAGAATATTGCTGGCAGGAATACGTGAACTTGCTGTTTTCAGACAATTTCACGTCAGAAACACCTTTTACTGTCCTTACAACAACGGTACAGGCAGACGGGATTTGTTGATGACCATCCATGGCCAGATCAATATGTAGTGACAACGCAACATGAATAAAATTTGATTATGCAACGTCATTTGCGAGACATGTTTACGGCCGCAACGTCAACTGCTAATCAAGTCGACGAATGCAATGGCAGACAGATTCATGTCAAAAATGTTTCCAATATACTAAAATGCCAAAGAATCGACTACAGAAAAACATTTGAAGCAATAAAGTTTAAACCACTTAATTGCTAAAAAGTAAAATAACAAAAATACCGACTCCGAGGAAAATTTTAAACGGAAAGTCCATAAACAAATGGCCAAAATAAAAAAAACACACTGTAATGCATGGGACAGAGGCAAAATCAGAAGGTACAAAACAGAACTCAAAACATGCCCAACAGAATTGGATGACCTTTCTGACAATCATTTTGGAGTTGGTTCCATTTATAGAATGTGAAAATTTTGAATTTATTGTGTTCACATAGTAACTGTTCAAGTTCTTCACTCACGCTATTTGTCGCGTACTTTTTTCATGATTACGTTGCTTGTGGATTCCTACTCTCTCACGAAGGTAAATTTCTGTATCTTTAATATATATATACAATAATAATAGGCCCCTGTTAATCGTTTCTTTTTGTTGCTAGGTTGATGTCGACTATGGATAATACGATTTTCTTTTAAGACATTTTCACTTTCACTTCGAAACAAAATTGGAAAATTTTCCTTTGTTGCAATATAAATTTACGTTATTCTTGGGTCATGCGTAGTAACACACGGCATTAGAAGATACTCTCTATACTTCCGCATGTTGTACAGAGTTGTGATAGTGTCTCAGGATAATGTATCTTGTGAAGCTTGTATAATGCCGTTTTCTAATAATTTAGTGAGATATTTTTTTCTTGTTAAACGAATTGTTCTTCATTCACAACAATGCCAGACAATAAGGAATGCTCAGCTTTGTATGCGACGGATGATATGAGTGGAAATATAAATATTGGTGTATGTCTGTTTTCTTATAGTTTTATCTTGCACTTTACTACTTGGTCGACTATTAGGAATGCACAGTTATCACACATTAGAATACTGACATTCCATCTACTCGACAAATACGTTTTCGATCGAAGTCTAGCAATTTCATGATATAATAAATAATAAATTGATTGATGAGATTTGAACATCGGTAAGCTAATATTGTCTCGAATTTACGAATAAATTTATAAATTCTACCTCTTGTTGGTAAACGCATATTTTGAAGTACGACAATCTGCAATGTCTGAATAATAATTATATTTGAATATACATTTTTTTCAGTTCATTAATCTGTAATGTCTGAAAAACAAACATATACATCTTAATAATAAAACTTTAGTGGTAAAGTGTAATTTTTTGGTAGTGATAGCAGTTATTCCACAGTCGGAGACAGAAAAAAGAATACAGTAACAAATTAGTTGGAACTCAGTTTGAAGTTACACGACGTTTAAGCAAGCAATTCTTGTTTATAAGATGATTCATTTTAGCTTTCAAATGAAGATGTATGTAAATGTTCCAAAGAAGGATAAGAATCATCGTGGGAGTCTAAAGATGTCTCAGATTGGCTGGATACCACATTCGAAGTTGGACAAAAATTCTCATATATTTCATGTGGTGCTCCTGTATTACCCAATGATGGTTGAGAATAATTTGCCTGCATAGAGATTGGATCGAGATGTTCCAAACTCTCATTTGTAGAAATATTAGAGAAAACTGATTCAACATTATTTGCTAACGGAGACTGGGGATCAAGATGCTCTAGACTTCTTGTTAAGGTTGTAACACTAACAGTCCTTTCAGTTTCTAATTGTATTCTTCTTCTTGATTGACATTGGCTGTCGTTGTTTGTGGTGAAATAATTCTTTTGATCAGTTGAATCGTCTATTGATGAAGGCGAAATAATAGATTTCAAATTCGAAACAAGGCCGTATTGTTCTTCTATTCCATAGTCGTGTCTATTGTGTTGATTGGGATATGTTTCACTTTGATTCTTTTTAAGAAGGATATCATAAACTGCAAGTGCTCGGTCTTCAGCATAATTTCCCTCTTTCGCCAGTTCCCTTGCTCTCTGTAAATGATTCATAGCAGCTTCCATATCATATTTTCATTCTTCCAACCTAGCTCTAGCAACAGCAATGAACATTTGTCTACGATGTTCTAGATCTTTTAGTTCATCAAGTTGTAGAATTCGTTCAGCTTCTATAATAGACTCCCTGCTTGGAACATAATTCTGCACAATATCACAAAACTTTCCGATACCGAGATGGGCAAACACCATTCGCAAAAGAAATAATTTCGTCCAAAATATTCGCAAATCGTCTGATTCGCCCTCTAATGTCCAAAGTCCGCGGTCAGCTTCTAACAGAATTGATTTTCTTAGTTCTTCGTCATATGGATGTTTTTCAAATTTCGATAGTTTTACAACCACATTTTTATAAATCATATCTGTTACTTCTACACATGAACAACTGGTATCAGCACTTACTAATGCTTGTCGCATAAAATCTTCTGCTTCTTGAAACTCGCCGATAGTAGAAAGAACATCCGATTGTCTTCCATAAAGAATTACCTCTGAAAGTGCGGGGTTAGTTGTACTTGAAATATATCGTCCCATTTCCAAATAACCAGGGTGATTTTTGCTTACTATTCCTGCAATATTTGTCAGTGCATCCATTTCTGCAGCTTTCAATGCAACAAATTTATCGCATTTAATCATTCTTTCCACAGGATCATCGGTATTGGAGATTCGTTTTTTAATTGTTTCTCCCATTTCCTGAACATCAGAATAAGCATCATTGAATGCCATTGCATGAACAAGCTGTTTGATATGCTTAAAAAAATTACCAATTTTACGCCTATTACTAGTGTCTGCTCGATTAAAACGGTAAACGGCCACTTCGTTTCTACTTTCTTGGTAACAAAGGAATAATTCTTTTGCAAGATCCTTGAATCCGTTATAATATAATACTTGTATAAGCTGAGTAAGGTTACAGTTCTTTGTTGTCTCATTAACTAGTGTTTCGCACACATATCTACGGGGAGCATGATTACTTTGCATCTGAAGAATTTCTCGGTAAAATGGTTCGTCGATTATGCAGTTTTTTCTAAGAACATTTGCCATTGGAATAGGATAAATGTTGTCTACAAACTTCGCACCAAATTTCCTTACAGCATTTATCTCTGCTATATCCATCTCCATACGCTCTACACCCATGTGTCGTTGAGATTGCATGACGGTTGTCTGAAATAATAACATAATGAACCGCGTCTTTTCTTTATATCATGTTAAACAACAGACATAAGTAATATATTGAAATCACAAACAAGTATGAAGATTGTATTGTAATTTAAAATGGTAAATTGTCAGGCAAGGGTGTGCATGTTTTATCTGCTTACCCCCTGTGGATCACATGGGAGCACCCGAGATTTTAGTGGAGTTTTCATAGCTCACTCGTCAGTTTTCTACAGAGAAGTTATTGGACATATTTTATTTCTTTGTGAGCTTTGGGATGTGTTTTGTACAAATACACCGAAGACGAGATCATCAAAATACTAGACCTTTTGATCGACATCATTTTAGTTGGAGTTGATGGATTGATATTTCAGCACACTGTCGGTATTCCAATGGGTACTAATTGTGCAACCCTACTGGCCGACTTGTTTCAAAGCAGAATTCATACAAAACCTTTTCAAAGACAAAAGGACCAAAATCCAGCAACGATTTGAAATGTGTTACATTTGTTTAATTCTAAGCTCGTTTTCTATTACATAATTTGTCGTCCTATTTGTGTTAATGGCTTTTCAATGTATGATATTCTCTGACATGTGTATATTCCGTATAAAATTAACTTTTGTATTTGGCAATTAATTGTAAGTTATACATTGTATAGTTGTAGGAGAATATTAAAAGTGTCTGAGCAGAAAGTTGATGAAGCAGGTTTATGTCAATGAACGTCTTGTCCTTTTTCTAAAAATGTTCATCGTTAGATACCAAGACCTTGTTGATAAATATTCCGTATTAACTTCACAAATAATACACGATGGTCTTGAAGTATAGATTCTAGGTACTGACGTTGTTTATCATCTAAAATACGTGTTATAGTGTTATTTTATTCGTCTGTGAAAATTATTACTTTACTGTTTAGTCTATTTTTGGTGATGTCCATTTGAAGTGGCTCGGTACTTATACATCCCGTCATTGTGTAATTGTGCTATGGTACATTTTTGTGTTCTTGTCTTCCGTTTTTGCTGGTGTGCTTTGTCTACATGCCTTTTTGTTTTTCTGTGTTTATATATTTGTTTGATTTTATAGTGATTAAGATTATAACACAATGTTGACTGTTGTACCCCTATTTTGACATTTTTACCTATTATGTCTGTTTATTTTGTTCACACATTGTTGTCAATATAATGGAATTTTATGCGACTGTCATACAAGTGAGAGGCTTAGCTAGCTATAAAACCAGGTTTAATCCACCATTTTCTACATCAGAAAATGCCTGTACCATTCGTTTGAAGTGTTTGAGCTTTTGATTTTGCCATTTGATTATGGACTTTCCGTTTTGAATTTTCCTCGGAGTTCGGTATTTTTGTTATTTTACTTTTTCCATAGGATCACAAAGAAGAAAAACAAGGAAAAGCAAAACAAAACAAAGCGCCTGACCTAATTGACTCATGAATCTCCTTCAAATCAAAAGTGAACTACTTCAGGTCAATAACCCTGTTTTTTTTCTCTCTCGCACAGATGGGTAGATATATCTGCCAATGAACATATAGTTAGGTGTACAGAATATTCTACTTAGAGAAAGATTTGTGAAAATATACAAAAAAAAAGATATTGCGTAGGTATAATTCAGTGAAAAATCATCAGATAATAGGCTTATGATTTAGTACGCTAGATGCGAGTTTCGTCTGCATATAAGACTCATCAGTGAAATAGTTGAAAGGCCAAATCAAATACGAGCATGAGCAATGAGGTGGTAACTCAACAACATAAAACACAATATATCTCGAAGTCAATATATACTCTCTTCAACAATAAACACATATCTATACAATGTGTCAAGCACTTGTCGCCCCTAGAGTAGAAAAGTAATAAACACATTTAATAGAGACTATAACAGATCTGCCACCAAAACAAAATTCCCTAAACACAAAATACACTATGATACAACTTCAGACAACCAGTATTTACCAAGTGATCGTTAGTATCTTTGTGCGCAGTATCTGTGGGTGCGTTAAATCATGATACTTACCAAGTCGTTTTTTATACTTCCATATATTAGTCAATGTGTAAATTATATATCCTCATGTTATATATGTTTAAGTATTGCAAAATTCATTCAGTCACAATGAAGAGTAATGTACATGGTCTTTTAAAGGAGGTAATTTCTACTGGCATTCAATTCATTTTTGGATAAACATTGTTTTGATTAAATGGCCTTGTTGTTATCAGTTTATATTTTTAAATAAAGTCAGCACACACGGTCAAACAGTCACATGTCATAAAGTTACATAATACTTATTCGTGTAATGTATTTCCTTTACCGTGAGTTTAAGTGAAGTTGAAAATGACAAACACAAAGATATGATCTCTATATAGGGAGCAAAGAATACATCACCAGGAAATAAATACACTTTGAATCAATGAACCTAACATTATATAATAATTTCATATAAATTCAAATTATAAAATATTCATGTTGCTTGAAGGTAACATCAATTTTGTAGTCAGGGCTTCGGTACTGACACGATTTGTTAACATATTTTTCTAAAATTCAAAGTCAAAATACACCTCAGCTGAATTTATCTATTCTTTAAGGTCACTTTCAGTGATATGGCTCCTTATGTTTCTACATACTTATACCTCCGTGGCTTTCAAATGTTTGGGTTTGAGAGTTCCTGGTGAACTTCAATGCAGAAAAGCGTTCCAAGAGATCCAAATGGTGAAGTTGAGATCATCCCTTTTTGAAAATTTGGCGGACGCTATCACAAGTTGGTTGACTGTTATGGAATATTTGTTTCACAGATGACGACAGATATGTTCCAATTCTTGTTACCACAATTCCGTCCACTTTACCTCGAATGTGACCTACCGAATTAGACTTATCACCGGGTTTGTTGTTACATGAGCAACGCTACATGTGGAGCAGGATCTGCTTACTCTTCCGGAGCATTTGCGATCACCCCAGACTTTTGGTAGGGTTCTTGTTGCTTAGTCTTTAGTTTTCTATGTAGTATTTTGTGTTTTCTTTCGTAGTTTTTCGTTTTTTGCCATGGCATTGTCAGTTTGTTTTCGAATTATCGGTTTGAATATCCCTTTAGTATTTATTGCCTTTTTCATTTACTAGCACTGTGTTGATATTATTGCTGGTGGAATGTTTGTCCCCGAGGGTAAAACAGCTCAGTAGTCAGTGATTTAGTGCTAACATGATTTTTCTTAAATTCTCAGTTCATGAATTAGAAATTGGTATGAAACTAAGATTCCAACTCCCTCAGGCAAAGATGACCTTAGCTGATTTTGGCTATTCTTTTAGATCCCTTTCGGCCATAGAGCTCTTAAAGTATCTACGTTTTTATACATCCCTGGCTTTCAAATGTTTGGCTTTGAGCTTTCCTGGTGAAATATGTTGAGAAAACCGATTGGAAAGTATTATTTTCATTTGCCACCTAACGGGTCTTGTAATAAATGAGTTCTGAAATTGTCTTTATGTCTAGATACTTTTTTTAAAATTAATACAGATGGACAATTCAAAACAAAAATCTATGACAAGCTCAATGATTTCAGTTTTTCAATTTTCATCTTCCTATTATTGAGTAGTTGAATACTGTCTGTTTCCACAATTTTCAAAATCAGATAGCAATTCAAATAAGTACATAGATTGTTTAACGTACGCACAAAAAATAGATTAAGGCCGAGAAGATGAATCTAACAAATATATAATCACATCGGTATTCATCAATCTCTTAACTTTTAACAATTATTTATAACGATACGAAAAAAAATGGATTCAATAAAAACAGGGGTGGTCTAAAGTTATCCGGAAAGGTAAGCAGATCCTGCTCTACAACCTAACCCTCACACACAAATAAAATAAGTCCACAAAATACTATATAGACAAACTAAAAACTGAGCTTGAAAAACCCCACCCAAACTAGGGTGATCTCAGAAACTAATCAACTACGGTTATTCCCGGAAGAGGTTGGTGGAATCATAATAGACAGTTTATGGTTGCAATGACCGGTGAAAAATGAAAACAACACGTCATAACTTTCATGCGTCCGAAGCGCTTTTCTGGATTTACCTTCATCAGGAACGCTCAATGCCAAATATTTGAAAGCCAAGGATGTATAAAAACCGAAACAGTTGAAGAGCTATACGACCAAAAAGGACCTAAGAAAATTAAATCATACATCAATACAAAGCATTATCCATTCCGAGAACGATATGTTTACCCTTCCTGATAACACTGTAGGTTTTTATAGGTTTGTTAAAGTTTTTGAACAGCGGTATACTATTGTTGCCTTTATTTACCATGTCTGCAATGCGTAAAAAATTTGAAATTTAGATAAATTCCTGTCGCCATGTTGTTTCAGCAGAATTAGCATCGTCTAAGATTTGTGATTTTTTTTAAACGGAACAAAAATACTGTCAACATTATAAAATCAATTGAAAAAAAAAATGTTGTTAATCCCTAGCAGCGTCTTTTCTCCTTACATCAGATCTTGATGAAGAGGAGAAAAAGGAAACCTATTAAGGCATTCTTTTTGTAGTCTTCTGATTGATAATAATATAAAGGACATTCGATACAGTTACAAGGGAAGTAATAACGTCGGTAACTTAATATGTTACTTTTCGCGACGTCAAAATGTGACATATTGGGGAAAGTTGTATTTTCTCACCGATTTTAATCATAAGCTTGGAAATGAATACTAGTACATGGACCTCTGCTTTTTAGAATGGCACTTGACATAATTATGTAAGATTAGGTGAACCAATTTTTCATCGAAAAAATCCCCCTTGAATTGATTTTCAAATTAGATAAAAATGCAGCAAAAATCCGGTTTTTTCCTTACTTAAATCATTAAAATTTGATAGATATGAAGCATACAAATTTAGAGCATACTTATGCCAACAAAATATTCCAAAGTTATACTTGCACGTTCAGATATATTGATGATGTTTTGTTACTTAATTAACCAAATTTCAGCGAGTGCTCGCATTTCATATATCCCGATGAACTTGAAACTGGAATATAACGAAACTAAGTTCTGCTTCGTATTTAGATCTTTTTCTTGAAATTGAAACAGATTGACGATATATTATGACAAACGAGACGATTTACGATTTTCCATTTTCAACTTAGAATATCTCATTAGTAACATAACCTCTTTCCCATCGTATGGTGTTTACATCGCAAGTGATACGTTTCGCGAGTGCATGTTCTCATTATACAGACAATTCATTTACGCAAAAAAAAAATCCCCAAGCAAGGCTACCTATGATGAGGAATACATGAAATCGCCACTATATAAGTTTTACGGTCACTTCGCGAATTGGTTAACCGTTACAATTGAATGTGTTTGTCTGAACTCACAAACGGTACGTTTTAGAAGTCTCAAATCTTAAGAACGTCATTCTGTTAAAGTCCAGATTCGCATTGCGAGTGGTGCATTCATATGAGGATATTTTTGTCTCGTCGAAGTATCCCGTTTCGTTTGGAGTACATGCTAATCTCTCACCATTTTTCTCTTGGTTTGTTCATTCAAAATGGATTTCCAGGTGTTAAACATCGGCAAATCACTGTTGCCTCTCAAAGACTTGTATGCTCCAATCATCTCTTTTACCTTATTTTGTCATCTCAATCGATTTGTGAGATTTGAACATTGCTAAACTACTGTCGCCTATACCACACTACTTGAAAACCATTGCAGGATCGATGACTTCTAAACCTGATTGTACTTATGTATGTTCCCAATTTATATATAATCCGACTGGTTGCGTTATCACGAGTGACTTCTAGATTGTCATTCTTTTAAACAAAATTCGTTTTATTAAGTCTGTTAAATTATCTACGAATATTCTTTCAAACATAATTACATATATTCTATTAGCAATAAAATTCAGGTCTCAGAGTTAATGTAAAGTTACCTAATTTAAGGGTAATGTGTATTAGATGTTGGTACTATCTGTCAGAGTACATAAAACCAAGTATTACGTACCTTGTGTGTCATATATGTGTGTCACATAGTATTCATTGAATAATAATACATTGCTACTATTTTGTTGAGTGTATTTTCTGTATTATATTATTCTATTTTATTGTTTTTATAACACAGGTTACATATCTATTGTCTGTGTATTGCATATGTTATTGTTTATGTATGCTATATGCCCTCCTGGGGCCCTAATTTGGTAAATAAAAATATTCTATTCTATATTCTATTCTATATGAAAATATTTCACTTTCACGCCTTTCGCACGAATAGTCCTCATTATCAACAATCATACCACACCTGTTTTTTTCTTATTATTAGAGGCAACTCTGTTATATAAACATAAAAGACCAATGTAGATACAAATATTTTGTTTGAGGAAGGAAAAAATGATACTTTGTAATTATATTATGTTCTAACAAACCGTCAGATTTCCAAACCAGTAAAAAGTTTGAAATCTATATTAAAATCAAACAAATCAATTGTTATTTGGAGATGTATTAGTGAAATTTTCTACAATTTATGTTGCAAATGAAAGATGAAAACCTAGGCCAGTAGAATAGACAAAATATGTTATAAGTAGATTGTTGTAAAATTTAACCATCTATAATGCTCTCTACCGATCATCAATGTGTTTTCCTTACTTTTAGAACAGGTGTTCCTGAAAGGGGAAAGGGATATTGAAAGATTAACTTTATTTTTGTAAAAGATGAAAAATACCAAAATCTAATCAATAATCGTACCCTTATGAATAAAAAAAATATTGTCTGTCAAATATTGTATAGGAATAAGAGAGGTAATAAAGTATAGTGTTAAAATACAACAAAGGCAAACAGAGAGCTAGGTCCTGAACTTGAAAAAAAAACTGGAAGAGTGACATAGGTTAAGATCTTGGAGAACATGATTTAGTCATTAGTTGTTATTGGCTTTGAACTAGACTTCGGTCACTGCTAGTACTCTGAGATGGGCACTTTCCGTCTTTTTGTTGATTGTTTAACTTTTTTGTTGTGTAATATGCCGATCGGACGAGTATTTAATCCATTTCAAGCAGATTTTCAGTTTGTTCAAATGTTGTGCTGTTACACCACTGTGCCAGGTTAAGGGGATATTTGATCAATTACAAGCATGTTTAACCTACCACATTTTATATGTGCTTATCCCAAGTCAGGAGCCTGTTATTCAGTGGTTTTCGTTGCTTGCTGTCTGTCATATTTGTTTTTGTTTGTTTATTGTTTTTCATAAATTAGGTCTCTGCTTTTTTAGTTTTAATTGTTTCTCAGCTTTGGTCATGTCGAGGCCTTTTATATCTGATTATACGGTGTGAAAAAAAATTAAATAATAACAAAAATACCGAACTCCAAGGAAAATTCAAAACAGAAAGTCCCTTATCAAATGGCAAAATCAAAAGTTCGATACCCCAAAGAATGTCTTGGGTATAGAAATATGATCGAGATGTATAAATACGAAGACACGTTCAGTTGGAATATGAATCTGATGCCTCGTGCACAGAGAATTCCAAGCTCTGCACGTATAAGAACCCTTGCAATAACGGTTTAGGGTCCACAAGTGAACAGTTGCATGGATAAATCTCTGTCTGCATCTAACATACATTTGTACTTTTTTTTTATCCAGTGGCAGTGGATTTACAGAACCAACTTATTTGCTTTATTGCTAATGTGTCATCGTTCTAAATATGCATGAAATATTCGGATGTTAAGCAAACAAAAATCAAGTTAACAATCTATGAATAAACCCAAATTTACCAGCGAAAATATCAATGACTTGAACAAATGGCCAATAGACGTCACATTCATGATTGGCTATATGCAGTAACCTGTGGCACATACTATAGTAATGTGTACCTTAGATTTTGTTGTGTTGTTTGTTTAAAAGAGGACGTATTTACCACTGGTCATGTTTCTCCTTATATGTGATACAATATTGCATGCTTACAATTTTCCATATATCAAAATTGTATTTAGTTTTGTGTCCTTGTATCCTCATGTTATGACAGTCTTTAAAAGTCTGATTACTATGAAATCACCCAGTCTGTTTCAGTTCCTTCGGTGTTATTTTTATGAGGAATCAATTCGAAGTGCTGTCTTTTTCTAGTATCTAATAGTAATGTTCTAATTTTTTAACAACGTTGGATGACCTTTTATTAGTTTAACGGTATTGTATTTGTGTGTGTATGAAAGGTCATAATAAACATCAAATTCCAATCAAACTCTTCTTATGAAAATTTATGCCATTCCTGTGATCAGATAGTGGTATGTATAGGATATGTTTTTTTTTCTTATATATATAAAAAGTTAAGTAGAATCCGTATGCTGGTAACACACAAGAAAATTAATAAAAGATAATAACGGTTTCAATTCATCACTTTTACTTGATGAATTGAAACCGTTATTATCTTTTATTAATTTTCTTATATATATATATATATTACAAGTATTTTTTCTTTTAGTTTTTTAAACTGATGCCTGTTAAAGAGCAGCAACATATTTTTAGCTTAATAATTATGTATACTATTTGACTGCATTGTATACTTTCCATGTATACGCTGTATTGCTTTCTGTACCCCTTATATACTTTCTTATAACTTGTAAACCCATCTTTGAATTGCCATTTTCTAATAAGGAAGAAGGGTTGAATCAGCACTTCATTATATTTACCATGCTCAATGCAAGTTGAGAACCTTCTAAAAACTCTTCCAAGGGATCTGTAGGTGAACTGTTGCAAGGCTTAATTTCTGCCACCATCCTAAATACCCTTTTTCAACTGGCAATCAAACTGTTGGACCACATTGCACTATCTACTGGTTTGATTTCTAGTTAATTTGTTCTCATCCTGAATATACATGAAATATTTTCCACTGACCGTTTAGTGAACTGCAATTAATCAATCTTTTTATCTGTGGTTACCATCATTAAATGTTGATTGTTAACATGTCTCAGTTTACTACAGAGTAGAGACAAGTCTGATGATAGATAACCACAGATATGTTCCACTTGTCGTAGCTTCTTTCCCGCTTTTCATCGAGTGTGACTAATCACCAGGCTTTTATTTGCAGTGAGCAACAATAATGAAGCAGGAACTACTAACCTTCCAGATAACATGAGTTCAACCCGAGTTTTGTTTTAAGTGGTTCATGTTACATAAGTGTTGTATTTTGTGCTATTTTACTTTTCAATGTCCTTCTTGATTCTACCAGTAACAGTCTACCGTACACTTTGTTTTCATTCAAACTGTCTCAACTTTTAAGGTTAGAGAATAAACAAATAACAATAGTTTAAGGCTTTGGAAATGTCTAAGGGTTAGACACATTAAGTGATCTGCTATTGTATGATGTCAAAGCTGTCACTGGATGTGACTGAAATGTACATGTATTTTAACAGGAATAACACAGCAGGTTTTGCTGACTTGACAAATCCAAAATGATTATTACAGTCCTGATTAGATACTGGAACTTTCTACCGGAAGTGGTATATGTATGTGAAACAAGATTTAAGGTGCAAAACCTCCTAAAAGATCTTTGATAGAACAGAAACAAATATAAAGATTCAACAATACTTTATTTTTTATGAAATTAAATGAACACTTGACTTTTCTTTGATGAAGAGTGCAAGTTTCTTTCATGTCATGAATTGCAAATTTCTTAATTTGGCAAAACAAAAGATAACAGCATTAAATGCTAAAATACTGATACAGAGGTTAAATAACAATAATTTGAGTTGTTCTGACCATAATTTAGAGACACGCAATTTATATTCTCTTAATGCAGAATATATTTCTATGAGTAAATAAAGTTTCAACCAAACAGCTACATGTATTTGTAAAGGTTCAAATAGGTTTTTTGGGGGGAAACACTTTAATGTGTTATTTAATGCATTAACTTACAATAATGGGATATAGTAGGTTTTTTTTTTTAAAAATGGGGAAATTGCATCTGAAATATATCTATTTTTAGATAACACGTCACTGACATCAAATTTTCCCAATTTATGGATAATTATGTTTTTCAAGAATTGAAATAATTATTTTTAATGCAAATTTTAATCTCAATAATTGTCAATCCTTATAACAATGAATGTCACTTATTATTTAGAAATCAAATTGAAACTTCAAAAATATCTGAAATAAAATATTTGTACTTACTTCAAACAAGTTTTACAAAAAAGTAGAATTATACATCCTAGATTTTAAAACAAGTCTGTGACATGTGATAAAAAAATGAAAAAATCCACATGAATTTGTTTTTGGACTGGATCTTACAACAGCTTGTATTGAAGTATACTGCAAATCATTATGGGTGTAACAAAAAAAAAAGTATAAAAATAAGAAAGAATAATAAATAAACAGAAACATAACACAAATTACTGTAACTATAGCACCTTTGGTTAGGAGAAAACTTTTAGTTTCCCTTTGATTATAGTCTTTTACAACATTATAACAAAACATTTACACATTCATGATTGTAACGACACATATGTAATTTGATTATTTACATTATTTTGAAAGCCCTTTTCAATCATATTATTTATGGTTCACAACATTACTAAACAAATGCAAAATGAAGCTACAATGAGCACAAAGTGTCCATGTTATCCGTTTCAAAAATTATCTTACTCTTTCCAAAAACAGTTACTTCCCTTTCTCTCAGAGAAATCTTGAACTTAATATAAAGTAATTGATACAGATAAAGCTCTTCAGTTAAACATCTTTGGCTTACAACAAAATGAAAAAACGAAAATTGCAAAAGATGTGAAAAAAAGCTATCTGAAGTTTGGCAAATAAATTGAAATACATAACACTACAGTGTTTGTCTCACTTCTTTCAGAAAAGTATTGTCTTGATCAAAATATGTTGTAATTTTCTTTCTTTCATAAAAATAACTTTTCACTTAGTAGGAATAAAATCATATTTTTTTTCTAATACAACTGTAGACAGCTTTCTGCTTTCAAATTGGAATATTTCCTAAATGATTAAAATAAAAAAGATGGCATTATTTTTTACCCTTGTTGTTGGTACAGGAATTCTAATCAAAATAATTTCTAGAGATGTTGAGACAAACAGTAGTAAATAAAAAGAATTTCAATCAAATATGGCAAAGTAAAAATTATGTAAAAAAAAAAGAAATAAATCAGGTCAATCAAAATAACTGTTCTGTTTTCCAGCCATTCTCCCTTAACATTTAAAACTGATTATCCTAAATTTCCCTTTTTTTTTTAAGTTTTACCAGCAATTCTACTTTAAAATAAAAAAGAGATTATAATTTTCTCTTTTAATGTTAGTTTGTCTTAAAAATGCTCCAAATCTATAACCAGTAAAACTGAATTATGGACAGATGATAGTCTTTTTGTTAAGATCTTTCTGAATTAAACTAAATTAAAAAATTCTAAAAATTGCCAATAATCATTGTTACTTGCTTATCATCCAGTGGCAAATATTTCAAGCATATTCAGAATAAGGACAAATTTAATAGAAAATCAATGAGACAGATTCTGTAAAATGATTTTCTTGAATAAACAGTAATTAATTTGACAGCCACTGGTGGGCATGTTACATGTACCTGATAGACAATTTTCTTTGCATAAGATCCTCTACAGATTCTAGAGTTATTGCAAGGGATTTTTTTTCATGCAGGGAGTGTAGCATTCTCCCAGATAAGACCTTGAAAACAGAACATTTATTCTAATGACCTTCAGTGCTATTGAAAAACCTTTCACGATAACCAAGCAAAAAAAAAGTATTGCTAGTTTTGTACTGTCAACAAGTATTTGAAAACAGTACTAAAAAATGTGAAAACTACTGTTTCTAAAAAGCTACAAAGGAATGCAAGTCTGGAATTTATAAGGTTAATAATTGGATCATGGTATGTACTACACATTTATATGCATTGCTCAGTTTACTGGAGTCATATTCTCAAAAATGTGTAAGTATACCTTCATTACCTTGGATGTAATGTCCTTTTACAATAATATCGCTTACATATGACTTTAGTGATCAGATTTTTTAGAAGATGGAAAATGTATCCCATAATGCAATTGGTTGTCATTTCATCAAATGTTATGCATGAACAAAAAGATACTATTTGTTTTGCAGTCTCGCATGTTCTGTATTAATGAATGGTATTTCTTTTTACAGAACTGCTGATGGCTATAAACACACAGAACAATGATATACAACAAAATCTATATACTGGTCAAAACTTGAGCTTCATAGGCTTATCACAGATAGACAGAGGTCAAATGTCAACACAGTAAATCCACCTCTAGAATACACATAATTTATTATGCACCAATATTCAGCCAGTCCACAAGTATACACATAAATCTAAAGCTATTCTCGGCAATCATGGTTCGGCACCTTGCTTAATGACAACTATAAATAATGTTGACAATTAGAACCGGATTAATATGACTATGGTTTGGTACCAACCATTAAGCTATTATCAGCTACGGTATGGTTCAGCACCAACTGTAACACCGTGTCCACTACGACCACATGTCATATTGGTCACTTCTGTCCATTCATTTTTATCTGGATCAAAACATTCTACGGTTGATAAAAAGTCATTACCATCATAACCTCCTGTAAAGAAAATAAAACAGAATAAGAATTGAAGAATAAATCTAAACATGGTTAGCATAGACTTAGGAATATATTTAACTGTTTATCATTTCATTTGTATAATTGTGTGTGTAAGTGTGCTGTAAATTCTACAAGTGTTGCAATGTCTATACAAATACAAAATACATTTGAATTTATAAACAGGTGCATTTGTTTTTCATTTACATTTTTTTGTTATTTCAATGATAGTTATTTTATAATCTCAACTAATTTTGTAAACATTTTCTGTTGAGACCTAAATGTGTTTTTTTTTCCAATAAGTTGAATAATTTTCAAATTGGTTTCCAGCCATTTTTACCTATTTACACTCTATTATAGAATAATTCCTGCAAGTCATCCGATGACATTTACTGAGGAAATGATGATTAGAACTTAGCAAGGATTATTATCACATTGACGTCAATTGGAATTATTTCAAAAGTAGAGTAAAACATATTATATTAATTGTGATATATCGCCAAACAGCAAAAAAATAATGTTGCCTTTCAGATCGATTTTTCTTTTTGTTATTTTTTTATAAATTTAACTGGGTTGATTTTGAAGTTTTATATTGTACGTTTCCTGCAAAATGTTTGTAGAAAATTAATTCAGTTTATTTCTTACACTTTTGGTGCTGACAGATAAAATACACGTACTGAAAGTATTAATTAAATATGTTGCGTTTATCAAAGAAGGAAAACACAAAAAAAATATCTCCTTGCTTATCTATTTTATAATTCATCAAACAAGTATTTTACTCTCAACACATAGGCCTCTGTTATTAGTTAGTGTAATTTTGTTTTGGACCGGAAGAAAATTTGACTAATTATTCTTGATTTTTTTTCTATTTGATTTCTTTCAATATATTAGGCTGATATATAGATATGAAAGAGAAATGTGAAATCAAAGACATATTAATCTGTTCCCTGGTTTATATACTTTTTTTAAATACCACAAATGTTCTCGACAATTTTTTTTAGATAAAGTAGTTAAAGTTTGGCTTAATACCTGTATGGAAAGTATGTTGTCAGTTTAGAAAGAAACCGATCTGATTTTACAGGAACATGCCAGGGTTGTTCATTATGCAATGAAAACATACAAGATAAAAACCATATCTTACCTAAAACATAAAGCTTCCCACTTAATACACAAACACTTAAAGCACTTCTGGGGCTCCTCATAGGGGCTACAAATTCCCAAGTTTTTGTACAAGTATTATATCGTTCTACTGATTTTAATTGACAACTGCTGTCATAACCACCAACTGCATAAATATAATTGTCCATTCCAACAACCCCTGAAAAATAAATATATTTGTTATTATTTCCAATAATCTCATTAGAAGACATATTTCTTTGCATCTAATACATGTATTGTCTCTTGTAAATATCTTATTTTCATTTCTGTGTTTTGACAACATGCAACTTTACATGATTTGGAAACAAATTTTTAGCAAGTGAAAGTAACAATTCAATGTTCTGTACACATTTGAATATTTAAATGTATCTTTGACCATGTATACATGTAAATAATGTAAGTCTAAGACTGCACATTATTGAGATTTGTTTACCATTTTGTCAAGTGCTACAGCAGTTATATCAAATGTTTTGAAGAATGTTGTAACAGGTGGATAACTGTGTCATTATTGTTTATCATCATTATTATTTAAATTACCATAAGTAGCCTCAGTCCAACATTTCAGCCGCAGTCCTTTTTAAAGAATTGTCACCATAAAAAATTACATCTTGCTTCACTTTGTTGCTATTTCAATGACAGTAACATTGTTAGGAATTCCTTTTGGAATAATGACGTAAAAATGGAAAGCACTTTGTCAAAATTTTACTTGAATTTGTAATTGAATGCAGCATTTTGACACTCTACAATAGAGGAACTGATGGACATTTCTACCAAATATAAAGGACAAGAGAAAATTTGATGCATTGTATGTATTCTACTATTGCAAGCTTTTTGTTTTTATGTAAATTACCTGCACCACTTCTTGTTGTATTCATAGGAGGTATAGGAGACCATTCGTTAACTTCTGGATCGTAACATTCAGCACTCCGTAATCTATTAGAACCATCGTAGCCACCGACAGCATATAATAAACGGTTTAAAGATGCAACACCAACACCAATTCTTTTAGTTTTCATAGGAGAAACATTAGTCCAAATATCACAGTCAGGATCATACCTGAAAATTAATACAAAAATTATACTCACTTGCAAAATGTATGAAGTAAAAAAAAATTGAAATTCTTTGTCAGAAAAGTCTAATTTTTAGTTTTGAAGACTTTTGTTCCTTGTATGTTTTTGGATAAAATTGGGTAAGTGTTCTTTTTTAAGATTTAAAAAAAAAAAAAAATCATCGGAATAAAAGGCCCTGACAGACTATAGCGGTCATATCAATAGACTAAAATATCATACAAATATGACAAAATATTTCATTCATGTTTCTTTTTTAACATTTATTAATATTATATAAATATTTGTTTTTTTTCTCACAATCCTATATTTAGTACTAGGTACTACTATGTGGAAGTGGTTACTTTACTGATTAGTATCAAAAAGTGACCTTTAAAATGACCGCCTTTATTGTCAACAAAAGATTACCACAAACAATGACATGCCTAAATATTTGTGACAATTTTCCAGTACCAAAAAACCAAAAGAATATACAGTTAATGAATTATTTATTTGTTGAACTTATTAAATCATCACGATCAAAGATAAATCTGTCAAGTTTACACAAGAAACTGTTGATAGACTAATTTTAACCTAGATCCCCTGGTGGGAAGAGACAATATCTAGATCTACAAATGTATACATTGCATTTAATAAGATCATGGTGACCATGATAATGCTCTTTTTGTAATGAAAAAGTGGGCTATGATTTGTCCTATTTTTAGAAGACACTATTGTTAATTTAATTTACCAACCATTTTAGGATTGTTCCGATATTATCATTGAACAATTTAATTAATCTCAAATTAAACTGGTACGAGACAGAAGCTATGTATACTTTGTAATGGTTATGTAGAAAATGTCTCACAAATACTTGGAATCACATAGAGCAATCTGACAACTAACAAGATAATTTTAAATTATTTTCATTTTAAAAACGAATCAAGGCAGGCTCCTTCACCTATAAACTTCTATCTACATATAAGGAACACAGATTAAAATAGAGCATGAGATAAAAGAAAATTTTGATAATTGATTAAAAAAGATAAGAGTTGAAGTTAAAGGTCAGACAGAACAAATGTAATTTTGTACATTAAATATTCATTTAAAGTTTCACCTGGATGATGATGTTGCAAAATACCCACAATTAAAATCCACCCGGTTTTTCATTGAAATGGATAGACCCATATTTCTGAGTCATTTATACTAAATGTTAAAAGTACTTGCTTTCAAAAGCCATTGTGAGATGTTATATACTTCTGGGTTGTCTAAATACACTGCAATACATATACAATGTGCATGCCTTCATGATAAGAAGAAATCAGTATTAATTCCATGTCATGGCAAGGTCTTGATATGTATTGTTGATGAATTTAGAATTGGTAATAGTTTACATGACCTATATATACATGTATACAAATGAATTTTCTTCCTGTACTACTGGTAAATTCCCACCCACAAATCTAGAATTTGTACTAAATGTCTAATTATTTTAAGTACTAAAATTGTATATAAAAGACGTAAAAAAAAAACCTAAACAATGAAATAAATGGTACCAATAAGATAAATGTTTTATAACACCCCTTTTTTGAAGCCAAGGATTTGAATGCCAAATATTTATCAGGAACTACAAATTGGCTAAAAAAGAAAGCTCACCAGTTGAACATATTTCCTAAGCAAAATTGCCAACTGGGGCAGCCACTTATCAGTATCATACATTTCAAACTCACCCACGTTCAAGATTTAAATGTTTAATATTATTGGGAAAGACATTTTGATTTATATACAAAAATAAGAAAAAAGTCAAACATTTAATAGCCTGATGACGTGAAAAAACAATGAAAAGAACCAACACCACCCTATAATAGCATTCAAACATTCACAAACAAGTTTCCATATGAACCCTGCACTCCCAATCAAAATAAAAAAATAGAACCCAAATAAAGCAGCCTAAACTGTATTGGCCATGGTTATACAATTATTACTGAAAAAAGTTCGTTTAGTTTTGAATATTGTTAGTGATGATAATTGTATACAAATTTATCAAATGCACAAAATATTTTTGACAGAATTCTTGACTTTAGAGATACATGTATATGAGATAATCATAAAAAAAAAGTTTGAAAGTGAGAAAATCAATAACATTGCCAAGCTGTTGCTCTCAATGTATAGCAATACAAAAAAAATATTCAAAAAAATGACCAAGAAAGGCCTTATTTACAAGAAAAATTGATGTTAATAATGTTATTATACCGAATTGTGTACAACCAGTAACTTATGTCTTTTGATTGGTTATAATTAAACCAATTATGTAAAACAATACAATAAATATGCTCTAATTCCCACTACTAAGAACACAACACACAACTATAAAATACTCCATGAATCAATCACAAACAATATGTTGCCAATGTGTTCTAGGCATAATCTGATAATCAAAGCAACCTTCAGCAAATTCAAGCTGTGTATTGCACCAGCTTTTTCTAAATGGTTGTCCTACTTTTATTTATCTCCAAAACTTGTAAAAGAGAAATTTTCAAAAAAAAACTCACCTTTCTACAGTACAATGATGTTGCTGGCCTTGTGAGCCACCAACTGCATAAATCATATTATCTATAACTCCCACTCCTACACGATTTCTGGGCACTGACATAGGACACTTTGTCACCCATTGTTTCCTTAAAGTATCATACATTTCTAAAGAATTACAGTCCATATTGCCATCAGGAGAATTGTTTCTACCTCCTACCACATAAAAAGCACCTTTTACAATACATGCACTTAAACCACTTCTCGGTTTTGGTAAATCTGGCAAGCGATTCCACTGTTTTGTACATGTGTTATAATATTCAAAATTACTAAGGGACTGTCTAAGGTAACCACCAGCAGTGTATATAACTAGAGGTGAACACGGTTTTCTTGGTTTTTCAGGTATTGACTGATGTAATTTTAGTCCTTGAAAAATTTTAGTCAAGTATTCCTGACATTGAGGCATATTCTTTAAAACTTTACAACTGTTTAATTGTTTTTCTAAGAAATGAGGGGCTAAAAAATGACAACGAACGGCATAAAGTAATCCCTCTAGTTTACACGCACGCTTCTCTAAGTCATGTTGTACCCATCTTATCACAGCATCAAACACTTCAGATTCACAACGAATATTTAATTCATCATGTTTTATGAAACTTATTAACTGGCAAGGATTTAACGTCAAAAACTCATCACACCGCACAACTTCTGAAAAATTTTTGAAAATAAATTCCCGAGCTTTTGTTTCTAGTTCATGGCACCCATGTTCACTGGCAAAATCTGCTATTCCAATACAGTTACTTGGGTCTAACTGATGTTCTAAAAAAACACTACATGCTTCCACAACATGGTTCATTTGAAACATTGTAGCAGCTGGTAATAAGTAGCACACATTCCTTTCATTTACACGAACTTCTGCAGTGTATGCAAACTCTATTAACACCGCAAGTGTACATGCTGTTATTCCATGAAGGGGAATCGTGGTCATGCCTTCCTCCTTCATACCACCCGTAAACATTGCACGGAAATAGGGACTAGCTGCAGCCAACACAATTTTATGAGCTAAATATTTGTCTTCACCGACAACTAATGTCACATCACATAATTTAGTTAATAGTCTTAAAGTACTCATAACATCCAATGCTTCTTTTGGATGTTTCATTATGGTAAAGTTCATGCTACCATCAGCAGGTTTTTCTGTTGTCAGTGGTTGTATCCTATAACAGGAAGAACTGTCTGTTTTCATCTTCGATTCATAAACTTCCTCGGCAGACATTTTGGATGTATTTGTTGTCAACACTATACTGGATCCAACATACTAATATCAGAATATTTATATTTAGAAAATGTCTTGTAATAGAATTGACAGAACCTGAAAATAGACAAAAAAAGTATTAATTTAATTTTCTACATACAAACGTTTTTAAGCTGCATCCTAATCACTTTAGAAGAATACTCCTACCTTGACTGACCTGTTACATTCAGTGGCAAATATTACATACATATAAGGCAAAAAAACAAAAACGTTGTGATATGAATATAAACCCTGCTTTGTACAAAACTGACATCCTGAGCTAGATTTTTAGCCATGCTAGTCGATCAGCATCATTCATTTCTTTAATAGCTGTTACTGAAATAAAAATACAACTGACCAGATGCAAGAAAATATTATTTTAAATATGAATGAGGTTGGAGTTTTTCTTCTTAAAAAAAAATCAACAATTTGTAATTCATTAAAAAACACTGTAATAAATCATCATTTGTTATACATTTTATATCAAAGACAAAATGACTTTACTGTTTCACATATGAAATGAAAAGTACATTAAAAAAAACAACAACAAAAAACCCATAAAGGGTATTTTCATACAAGCTTATTTACCTCAGTGAATAAAAACTAATTTTCTTTAAGACTGATTGAAAGACATGAAAAAGTTTTTCACCTTCTGACTTTCAAATGACAATGCAGAAAAAAATAATCAATAATATTTAAAATTCCTTAAATAAAACATGAAAAGTCAGCGTTAATTAATATGTTTCAGCTGAGACAACAACACTTATCAATATTGTCCTGAAAACTCTTCTTAAAAATTTATATATATAAATCCTTACTTATATCATTTAAGGAATGTTTCCTTACAATGATCCTAATTGACAATGTTTACAGAGAATAATCCACCTACATTATAGCATAAAAACCAATGCTGATGATGCTGTCAGGGAGAACTGTACTCTTACAGAAATCCTTAGTCATTCCATGGAAGTATTATATTGACAGGACCTTAATTATTATCATTATTGATTTCTGCAGGTATGTATCATTATATTAATATCTATCTATATTATTAAATTTTCCCATATTCACGTGTTATGATTATTTCATGACGTTAATCATTATCTGCAGTTCTTAACTGCAAGTCATCGGCAAATAGGTAATTAGGGACACATGCCAATGTTGCTTTCAACTTCAATCAATCAATCACATAAATAAAAACAGAGATGAAGTATATAGAAAAGGTTTGCTTGAAGAATGAAAAAAACAAAGGAGTCTTACATGTAAATTAGATACAAGTCATTACTGAAAATGTGGTACTGAGTAAAGATCATTGAAACAGCAATCCTATAATATAAAAAGCGAACCAAACAAACAAAACTGAAAGGTATATTAAGCATGGTTTACCAACATAATTTTGTGTCATGAGTCATTGAAAATTTCAACAGAGAACTGATCCATGCCTTTTAATCTTACAAAATATCATTATTCTATGATATTTTTTTGATCTACATGTATTTAAAAATTGAATGTATTGTAAACAACATAACATTCCAGCCCTGACCAAATTCACAGTGTTCTGATTAAGAACTGAACTATTGTTCAATAGTGACTTGAAGTCTCATGAACTTTTTGGCACACCAAAAAAATTTAATAAAGTATTGTTGGGTAGCTGTCTCATTGACATATACCCTACCTCTTTTATTCATTATAAATTTCATTAGAGTATCATATCACATTTAAATCTATAGACAAACACAAACTTAATTACTATGTAGAAATTCTCATACTGACAATATCTAAGACCTTTAATTGGCATTGTTTTCTATCCAAATTATTACAATGTATATAATGTGGTTATTTTTATCTATCATAACTATTTGAATATTAAATTTTTTAAGTTGGAAATAAAATATTGTGAGCTTTTAAAAAATAGCTGACTCACTGCAATGTTTTAATTTGATCACCAAATAAAAATGTCACAAATGTATCTTTTACATTGAAATAATTTCAATATTTATATAGAGGACAGAAATTAATTTAATTCAGAAATTTATTCAAGAACACTTTTATAAATTATAAGTTCAGTGTAACATTGGCCAATTTACTGTTGTACTTTACATGGGGGAGATCATGTACTCTTTGTAGACAGATTCTGTCATTAATTTCATTACAACTAATAACCTAGAACTCAGCTACAACAAAGTTTAACCATAATAGTTATTCCCAGTGAGGATAACAAATTTTCAAAAGTATTCTTCATATAGTTTTAATTTAAACCGTGCATCAAATTAATTTTTATCAGGAACTAATTGTAAGACACAATCAATAAATATTGATGAATTTTTAGTTAATGTTTGTGAGTTATATATTCAAAATTAAATGACGTTTGATTCCATGCACATCATAACAAAAATAACACTGTTGATTCAGAGTACTATGGTACAAAAACAATTTGCTGCTGAAATATCATTAATATGATACTTCAAATTATTACTTTTTTCCTCAATAGTGTTTGCACAAAGCAATCTATTTCAGCCGAAATAGATAAATCATCTGGGTTTTTTCCAATCTGAATTTCTCTACCTCTTGAAATGAATGCAGTCATTCCCATATCCAATTTTACTTAGTAACTAGAAATTGCTTAACTCATTTTATCAAGTATTGAAGAAGACACAGCCCAAGTTAATCTTGAATTTTTTTTTAATTTCACTATTCTTTAGTAAAAGTATGGCTTCTTTTTACAATGATTGTTTTAAAGGAGTGGATGTTTCCCTTACCTAGAATTCCTATTCATAATTATCAAATGTACATGGAAATATATACAACTTCAATAAAATGTAAAAATTTAAACAAACTTCAATAAAAATCTTATCAAATGTTATATAACTGATACACATCCTAAAACTATAGTTTAAGAAAATTTAATAACTAAAATTTTCTAGCTCAGATCAATTCATAATAAAAATAATTCGCCTAAGCTTCCAATTCAGTAAATATGTCACAACAAAATTAGTTTCATACTTAATTACCTTTTAAGTGAATAAAATCCATTTCTGTTTTCCAGAGAAATATAAAATTTCTCTTTGCACCTGAATATCCATGTTATCACAAATATAACAACTCTTATTATAGATTAAAACCATTTTTAGTTAATTCGGAAAAAGTCTTGACACTCACTAGTAGTATAATCTTGCTGAAAATCGCTACCCGTAAAGTTGATATCACATGATCATTTAAATGTCCTACGTATTGTATTGAATGAAATAGCATTTTTTTTCCAAGAGTGGTAATTGTAACAGGTAGTGCTTGGTAGAGTTGCAAGAGATTCAGACTGCCATGTTTTACTATGGGGATTATCTCTGAATAGCTCATTAAAATTAAGCTTATTGGATTAGTAACACTACTGAGTTTTTCTGATGGCCTTTTATGTATATCCTTACTGTTCATATTTTTGCTACCTGGTCAGTATCGAACCCACAATATAATTCGGTCAAATCTGGCTAAAGGACAACTGACCAAAAAAATATGAAAACAGACTGAAAGAGGACAATGATAGGTGAATGTATGAAATAAACTAATCCTAACTTATTTCAAAACATTAAATGAACTATACATGCTACTGAAAGAAGTACAAGATCATTGCAGAATATTCATCTGTCAAAGTATACTCAAGTTCAGTTCAACAATTCATTGAAGCAACAACTCCTTTTAACAAAATACATTTTATCAAATATAAATTCAGGTATGCTCTTTAGTGACTCTACCTTCACTTCACCACAAAGGTGTTGGTTCAGCAGCTTTTTATTTTTATTTTTTTTTATTTTATTTTTATTTTTATTTTATTTTTATTAAATTCAGGTTGAGTTACACATTTCATCTTAGAAAGCTATGGTCATTTATATATAATCAATGTTTTAAAATTAAAAGTTAACCCTATATTTTTAAAGTAAATTGATCTTACTGTGTGTTTTCGGCATGATGTTGAGATGTCACTTCCATGCATGCTCACATCCAAAATAAAACAAAACATGCTAAATGTGTCCTCCAACAAAAAGTGCATGTCATTTATATGCATGATTGAACAGTTCAATAAGAATGGTCAAATTTTAAATGGTTTTGCTGAGTCACAAAGGTAAACTGGACAGAGGTGATACAATAGTATATAATCTCCAGTCAACATTATAAAGCAAATTTACCTGGGAAAATTACATAGTTAATCAGGTAATCAAACAGATGGTCTATCCAAAGTCAACAATGACTCAGCAAAAATCATTATTGTCCACTAATAATTTATTCCTAATATTCTTCAAGTTAAAATGTTCATTATAATTCATTCTTCTATCTCTATCTATTACATCTATTATATTAAACTGAAAATCAGTACTAAATTTTTGTCAGCAGTTCATTTGTTTTTTTTCTTGAGTTGAAGTACAAAGGAATTAGCATATAATTTAATTTGTATATTAACTTAATTTATCAGTCTTTGCCTTGTCATCTTACAAAGAATGGTAAGAAATTAGACAGAGAATACACATGTGTAGAATATTTCCATCAAAGAAAGGGTTCTTTTAGTAGGTGCTACTGTAATAAATCTACAGGTGAGGACGACCTCAATTTTGCATTTATTCACTTATTAAGATTTTATTTACCGGTATGTACATATTAACTGCAAAATGAAAATAACACTTTCTAAATTTGGTCTGAAGCACTTTTTCTAGATGTGCCTTCATTGGGAACTCTCAAACCAATAAATTTGAAAGCCGAGGATGTATAAGTACTTGGATACGTCAAAAGCTAAAACATGACAAAGAGGGACATAACATAAAAAGAATAGCCAAATCCATCTAAGATCAACTTTGTCTGAGGGAGTTATAATATTAAAAATTAGCAAGAAAGAAACCTCTCCACTGACAACAAAGTACTATCAAAAAATTAGACAGGACATTGAACCTTAGACAAACAATTAACAAGGAACAATCTGTTTAGTAAAATTTGCACATAGATGATGGATGACGAGGCATAAAAGCATTGCCTGACATCAATATTGAACAAATGGTATTGATTGAATCAAATTTGCATCATCATCAAACACATTTACCTGTTCACAGGTATAGCAAATCATAAGAAATCATCAAGCTACAATCCATTAAAACTCTTGTCATTTTGTTTTTAAAAGATCAATTTCGTGAACAATACAGAAATGACAAGATTAATTCTATAGAAATTGTGATGATCTCTTTAAGATAGTAATCAAAGAACAATGGCAGTAGATTAGATTTCCAAAGAAATCGTCAAATGATGACTCAGCAGTTCTTAACAGTAGCATTTCTTCCTTTTATGGTGGTTATTTTCACATGGCTATCTTTAAGTTAGATTTATGACAAAAATTTGATACAAGTTTCAGTGATGGTTCACACTGATAGGTAGAATTATATCAAATGTTAAATAGCTTTTATATATAATTAATTGTTCTGGCTCAATTTTGATTCAAAAATGTACATCCAGACATATTACAACGAGACCTTCAGGGCAAACTATTATTTTTCAAAAACAACTTGTAAATAAACTGTTTAAACATAGATTTGTACCAGATATATTTGTCATTGATAGCGGATGTCTTTATGTTTTTTTAGTATTACATGGCCAATATAAAACACATTAATCTTATAAGTCAATTTAAAAAAAATGTTTACCTTCAAAGAGACTGAGGATATATATCTTTAATATCCAATATAATGATAAGGATTGCAGACTTCAATATTTTGTGGATGAAAAAATACCAGGTTTATATTTTATTTTTATGCAATTTCATATTTCTATATAAAATGCAACAACTATTACAACCCATGAACCCAAATGTAAACAAATTTACAATAACGATTTTAGTCCTTTTCAATATTTCTGCAGCATAAATCTATTAAAACTTTCAAAATCAATTTTAGAAGATTTTTTAATCTGTATGTAATGCAACTATCGATCTTTAAGGTAAAAGTTTGTTTATTTGACTTCCTATTGACGATTACCTATGTGAACGTGACTACAGACGTTTAAAGAATGTTGTACAATTACAGGTATGAGGTCAGCAAACCACAAAAATAAAAGTATTATAAGTGGGTCATAATAGATATACATTTTCATTTTGCTGAGTAACACGCATGCCCAGTTGAAGGTAAACGTGAGAGAGAATTTCTACCTGAGTAATCACCATTCACTACAATCCAGACTTTTATAGTATATCATAGGTGAAATTAATCAATGAAAAGTACTACAATTAAAATGAACTCAATGACAATTTCTCTACGTAAATATAACAATAATCAATCTATTTCTTTCGTTAAACCTTTTAATATTAAAGGTTATCTTTCAAATAATCACAATATCAGCATTATATTGAAAAACAGCTGACAAATATTGAAAAAAAAACAAATATTTATTTTCAATCTGGTTTGTTAATTATTAAAAACTCATAATTTTTCAAAGTCAGATAAATTTATATTGATCTAAACAAACACAAATGCTGGACAAAACATTCACATGAATGAAAAGACCTTTAATAGGACTTGTATAAAGATAAAGCCCTGAGGCTTGAAACAACCGAATAACATTTACATCATAAAATTATACATGTACTATTTTTCAAGTGAAAGGATGCATTTTATCTCTCTGTCCTTGACAGGTACAAACTTACAAAACTGCACCATAATTCTTATTATTTTTATGTACCTGTCATAACCACCATGACAAAGCTAAATATATTTATATTACTCAGTGCAATGCATAAAAGCTTGTATCCTTTTTAATTCAATTTCAAAACTGAACTTTCTGTACTTCAAGCTAATTTATAAAAGTGACGATCACTAGTCTTATTATTCTTGTGAAAAATACACTTTTTGAAAACATGTATAAACTCAAATCAATTATTAGTGAATTAGCCCAAAGTATTTGTAATTTCTATAAAATGCACTTAAAATGGCAAAAAACTGATATGAGGACTAAAGTTCATGCAAATGTTTAAATAATAAATGATTGCCACTTTTATTGATAAAAAATACAAAAGGTATATTAAATATACCGGTAATGTAATTTTTTTTACAAAAAATGCTACCAAAAGTAGGTGGTTCTGTCTGCATCATTCTCCAGGCCTTGGGGTCATAAAATTTTCGAGCACGATTATCGTACTCAGACTCAGAAATCAATCAATCAAGTTAATGGATTTTGTGTTTCGAGTACAAATCTTGTACTCTGGAGTCAATTTCACAAAAAAACTTACTACTAAGATTGATCGTAAAGTCATGAACAATTCAGTATACTTACGATCAATCTTAGTAATAAGTTTTTTTGTGAAACCGACTCCTGAGTACTGAGTAAAGTTTTATGATTGAGAGCCCAGACCTACATCAATAAAAACTGGCAGCCATGATATAGCCAAGAGTCCTGAAAGTGGCAATAAACACCAACTATTAAAAAATCACAAAAAATGCTGAGCCTAATGAATATTTTTAACATGATTTCTGTTTGTTATTCTAGGAATTCTATTTTGAAACTAAAAATTCGTAAGGGTTCCGCGGAACCCGGTGTCTCGCCTACTTTTGCTGTTAGTCGCAGGCTCAACAAAAATGAGGAAAAAAATTAATAAAAATATTCCTCTCATACTATCTTTTGATTGTAAGTAGCTTCTGTCCAAGTTTGGTAAAAATCCAGGATAGTTTATGAATCTAATAAATGTTTTAAAAACTTAAACTGCAGACTGTATGTAATGTTAACTGGAAGAAAAGCTAAGTCCATTTATAAGTAAAATACGGAAAAAAAGGAACAAAATTTTAACAAATTTCCTTCTAGATACTAGCTTTTAATCATTAACAAGCTTCTGTCCAAGTTTGGTAGAAATCCAGGATAGTTTATGAAAGTTATTAAAATTTCAAAAACTTTAACCACAGAGTGAATGTAATGTTTCCTGGCAGAAAAACTAAGTCAATTTATAAGTAAAATACGGAAAAAATGGAATTTTTTTTTTACTAAATTTACTTTTGGATATTATCTTATGATCATAAACAAGCTTCTGTCCAAGTTTGGTAGAAATCCAGGATAGTTTAAGAAAGTTATTAAAATTTCAAAAACTTTAACCACAGAGTGAATATTTGTGGACGCCGCCGCCGACGGAATGTAGGATCGCTATGTCTCGCTTTTTCGACAAAAGTCGAAGGCTCGACAATAAAAATTCAAGAAATTTCAATGTGCAGGGGTCCATACTTATACTAGTCTGCTTTTAGTCCTGTGCTAACCAAGGGGCCTCAGTGGCCGAGTGGTCTAAGCTGTCGAACTACTGTATCACTAGCCTGTCAACTCTGAGGTTGTGAGTTCGAATCCTGGACAGGGCAGGTGCACTCGATCCAATCTTAATTGACTATAGGATTGTCAGTTTTCCTACCGAAGGTCGGTGGTTTTCTCCGGCTTCCTCCACCAATTAAAATTGACCACAACGAAGAGCACAATATTGTTGAAAGCAGCATTAACAACCAATCAATCAATCCTGTGATTGTGCTAACCTTTTTTCAAATTCTATTTTTGTTTTAATTTTTTATTTCGGGGAGGGTTGGAGGGAGACAATAAATTAAATTACTTTTGAAACCAGCCTTTTTGACTCCATTGGACCAAGAATAACTTAAGACTTAAGCACCATTTACATTTATAAAGAACTCCTAAATTTCGATTGTACTTAACCATGTTGAAAAAATTAATATCAATCTGGAATAAAGTTTAAAATAATTCAGACTAAGGAAATTTATATAATCTTTCTTATATTGGCAGAGGGCCAAGGTATTTAACCTGAAAATCTCATCATTAAAAAAACTCAACCAGAGCAGCACATCAATACAATTAAATCCAATCATAAAAAAATGTTTGATCAAATGGTATGAACACAAACTGGTGATGCAAAAATTATAC